CCCACGGCCAGGAGCGTTTTGCGCTGGTATCATTCCATATTTAATATGTTTAAATATGTGCCTTCATTTCACTTGTTTATTTCTAGCAGTCTTTGAATATGAGCATGATCTGTTTGTTGTGGAGCCACATAGGAAGAAACAAAGCGAGGCACTAATGCGACACGGCTTCAAATGTTACGGTAACAGCGTGCTTTAATGAATTGGGAAAACGGAAAGCTATTTTTTCGCTTCAGGTTTCTGTTTATCGTTGAGAGCTCGTTTTTTATTTAATAACTGTATGTCCTTACATTTGAGACAAATTGTGGAGAGAAAAGTAGCATTTTTTTTTTTTTATATGACATATAGTCATTTCAAAAATCATGGCAATGGATGTTGGTAGGTTCACATATATCTCAGCCACCGCACTAGCCATTATTTTGAATCAAAGGAGACGGAGGTGTTTTATCCAAGCATTTGGGAGCGGCACATACAAGGTGTTTCTCCCTTTTTCCTTGAAGAAAAAAAAAAATTCCTTTTTTCGAAAATCACATTGTATTTGATATAAAACTAACTAGACTAAATCACATGACAAAATAATAAGTCATAACTGAAACTATATTCTTAAAGTCAACAATTTGCATTATTTCAAGTTTTTTAAAGAACACTTCTATTTTTTCATAATTATGTTTTATTTATTTTTTAAATTCTTAATATAAAAAATATGCATCCTCCTCACATTTAAATTGACACCTGCCATGGTCTTTCTTATTTGTTGTCTCTGATTTAGATTAAATTAATGTGTCCTTGCGGAATAAAAGTATTAATTTCTTTAAAAAAATATATTTATTGTTTAATAAATATTTTAATATATAAAAATTTAATAAATATTGTATATTTATTAAATATATAAATATATTTATATTTATTTAATGTAATGTTTAATTAAATATTTTACAAAAAAAAAGCTGCAGCTGTGTACAGTATCAGTATCATGTGAAAGGTCAGACAGTAATGATACTGATTTAAGTTTCAAAAATCAAACCGTTGCTTTATTTTTATTCAAACATGAGTTTATTCAAAGAAGGATTTGCCAGGCTGTTTCAATCCAATAACTTGCTTGTTTGCGAGTCTTATTGTGTGAGTCATTTGTTGGTAAATCAGATTAGACTAGTCTTGCTCTGTTTGTTTCCAGTGAATGCACAGTCGAAAGATGTGTTGTCTTGGCTTTACTTTGCAGTGCAGTCTTTATTTCTTCTCATTCAATTCAGACCACAACTTACAACTCTGGTAACTCTTAGCATTGCAGGAAAACACTCTTATGACCACAAACAAATGCTGTTTTTAATATATAACGATGAAATTAAAATTATGTCGTTTACCTTTATTTAAAGGTGCTATATGTAACTTCTCTTCTAAAATTAACCCTGTTTTTTATTGCCTGTGTGTGAAGGGGTTGTAATCACACATTACAATGATCCACTTGTCGGGTTTTGCTATTATCTCTGAAGGCTGGTATTCCTATTTCTAAGTGAAGTCTCCGGGTCGGATTTTCTGCGAAATCCATCGTATGTGACGTGCATGCACGCTCCGGAGCCTCTCTCCTTTTTATATACAGTCTATGCGACGGCACATGAGCCTGATAACACCAATACACTCCTGCCTCCAGCACAACATACACTCCAACACAAACCCCAGATAAATATAAAAAACAAAAATGTATCTGCTGAAGCTCGTCAGGCCAAACGTGAATCGGATCGACTTAGGACGAAAACACGGATCAACACCGGCAGAGCGTTTGACTCATAGAGAGACCTTCACTATTTTTATTGTGCTAAATTACACGTTTTCAGATATGCTGAAATAATGGTAAACTCTAATGAAATAGCAAGGTAAACTACAACAAATATGAGACATAAAATGAACACAAAAGACTGTTCCAGGATAACAAAAAGTCGGTGCTTTACGATGTAACTTTTATTTGATTTACTAGATCTACTGTCTAACGTCACTTATCCCACTACTATCATATTGTTTATAATACACATTTCCAGACACATTCAGTATAATGTTACTTCCTACAATCTTACTGTTACATTGAAATTGTTCAGTTTAGTTCACTAACCGTTTTCGTTATCATATTATACATTCGCCTATGTTGACGTTGCTGATTGTGAAAGATATTCACATTTATTTAGTGAAACACCTACACTGTAAAAAAATATTTTCAAGATTAGTTATCACAGCATTTTTTTCTGTTGTCGAATCAACTTAAATAATTTATTTAGTTCAGATAACTTATTATTTTGAGTTTCTGATGATTAAATTAATCTCATTCATTGTATTAACTCATTTTTTCCATTTCAATCAACTTAAAATTTTAAGGCAACCAGGTTATTTACTTTTTTATGTGAAACCAACAATATTTTTTTACAGTGTAATGCTAGATAACACCACAAATGTAACGTTATCATGGTACGAGCATGGAGCATTAGTTCAACATCAAGCTGATAAAAGTAGCCTATTACTGTAACGTTGCAATGGGAGTTTACATGAGTTTCCAGCATGTTGTGTGATGCTTTCTCCGGTGTGTTGAAAGTCTCAGTGTGGCCAGCAAGCACGCATTAGTGAACAAGCGCTCTTGTAAAAATTGGTTGCAATTTGAAACATCACCTATAGAGGACCTTAAAAATTACATACAGCACCTTTAATTTCAAACCCATCTGATTCTCCTTTTTCCATTAAACAAAAAAACTGTTTCTTTGGTTACACCTTATTTTGATGGTCCACTTTAGACATTTTACTAACTATAAGTAACTTTGCACTATGTCAAATAACTCTCATTAGAGTATTAGTAGCCTGTTAGGTTAGGGTTCGGGTTAGTAGAATAAGTTGACATGTAGTTGCAAAGTTACTTCTCGTCAATAGAATGTCTGTTGGAGGACCATCAAAATAAAGTGTAACCGTTTCTTCCCTTTTCCATGCAATAAAAAGGACACCGGTGAGCTCTAATAAGGAATTGACTCCCAAAATTCAGGCCATGACAACTGTGTTTATATTCGGTCTGAGAAAGGTACTGCACTAATTATTAATGCAAGGACGGCACTCTCTTTCAGCCATTGACTGCTCATGTGTCTCTTCTCCGTGTGCGGTTCAAGCTAATCAAGAGGAACGTGTCTTGACTCATTTGCAAATTCTGACACAAGTCTGTCTCTCTCCAGCGCAGTGTGTCCCAGCAGCCGTGTGGTCTAGGGTCAGCCCACCAGAGACCGCATGCTGTTTAAAAGAGCGGCTTAATGAGCATAAACAAAGCACAGTGGGTCTGTTTCACTAATAATTGCGTACAAGCAGCACACGCTTACACATTCGTTCTCATCCTCGGTCTAATGGTAATGATTTCCGATTATTCTTCACGAGGAAGCGCGTGCCTGCAGTTACTAATTAGCATAATACACGACCAAACCGTCTCCATTTCAATTTTCAAAGAGCTGCCTAAGAGCACACACTAGAAAGTCTTTGTGTGAATTTTTATTTCGGTGTGAACTGGCCCTTTAAGATGGATCATCTGTTGTTGTTCGAACAAAAATTGCATACTCGTGTTTTCATGAATACTTGAACATGGAATTGTTTTCCTATAGCAGAACAGCACTGCAGTGCATTCAGGAGAAAAGAGCCAAGAGTGAAGCTGATTGGATGATCTGTTTGACAGGCACAAACCAATCAATTCAGTCAGTAATTTCAGCATGTACTACAAGCATTCAGGTTTTGCTGGAGTGGCGAATTATAGATTCTCGTCGCACCGTGAAAAAGTCAATTTCCAGTGGTGACGGCCCGTTTTTTGGAGAGCTGCCATCGACTGTATCATGAAGGCTTTTATCCATTTTAGACCTTGACAACTTTATCTATCATCTCTATTTCTTTCTGTCTATACATCTGACTGTATTGTTTCCCATCTTTTTCAGAATGGATTAAAACTTTCGACCGGAAAGATCGAGATCAAATAGAAACTCGTCAGGGGTGTCAGAATCTAAATGGAATAATGGTTTATATTATATATTAAACAGCTCTGTAATCTAATTTTCGATTCATTCTAATCAATTATAACCAAGTGGGATATTTATTGGCCTGAGATGTCATCGTGAGCAAAGAGAGATACTATTTGTTGTTTTTTTACATCAAAGTAAGGGATTGTTCACCCAAAATATGTTTTTTTTCTCAGTGTTGTTATTTAATTTACACTATGTAACTTTTGGCCTCTAGAACATTGTTTTGGTTGTTCTTTTGCTGTGTGACCGCGGATGAATATGAGTATATGACCCTAAATATATAAATCTGAAAAATAGGCTAATATAATATATATATATATATATATATATATATTAGAGAGAGAGAGAGAGAGAGAGAGAGAGAGAGAGAGAGAGAGAGAGAGAGAGAGAGAGAGAGCAAATACAGTATTCGGCTGTGTGACTGTGGATGAATATGAACCTAAATATATAAATCTGAAAAATAGGCTAATATTATATTAGAGAGAAAGAGAGCAAATACAGTACAGTATTTGGTGAAAAACTTAAACTTAAAAAAGCCTTGGCAGCTAACTGAAATAAAATAAATAAATACTAAAATTAATAAAAGACATTAAAGAATAGGAATGAATAAACCTGAACCTGAAAGTGAAACATATAAATATAAAACTTGATTTAATACGATATGATGCTGTTTTACTGTAATAATGTTTTTATTATCTTGAAAAAATTTGCCAGAATATTCTCCTTATGTGTTCCCCAAGCCAACATGAGGATGAGGCAGGATGATAAATGATGGCTGGATTTTTGTTTGTGTGTGAACTATTATTTTAACTGAAAGTAAAAGAAAGTCTGTTGAAAATTGTGTTTGACTCCCATGACTCATAAGCGTAGTCCCGTTTGAGCCCCTACGATTCCCATATTCTTTCTCTTTCTGTTTAACTGTCTGACTTAGTCAAGAGTGACTCACTTCCTCTGGGGGGATTTTTTGCTTTTTTCCAGAGCCCACCTACATCACGATGGCGCCCCCTGCCTGCGGGTCACTGGACAACTGCACGCTGGAGGACAAGAGCTGCCCGTATGGCTTCCGGCTGGACTCCAGCGGGTGCAGGACATGCGGCTGCAAGACACGTAAGTGAGCTGTGACGTCACTGGAGAAGTGCTTCATCTTCCTCAGCCCATACACACGCTGTCAGGCTTTCTCTCCAGACACTGACTGGCTTTAGCAGAGATGTTTATAAGGATAAACACTGAAGGGTGGATGGATTAAGGGATTTTTTTTATGCTAAGATAGACTGGGTGAATCTAAGTCTGACAAATGTCAGAGAAAAAAGATAATAATGCTGATTTAGGGTGGAACTGCAAACCTGGTTGCGGATTAAAAATATTCTATTCTGAGATATACGTTACTGGTAAAAAGTTTGGACATAGTTGACTGATTTGTGTCTCAAATTTATTTATGTTCAGGAATATGCTTGAACATAAAAGTATAATTGCCTTTACAAATTCACAAAACATATTACTGAATCATTTACTGAAAATAGTTTTATAGAATAGAGTACACTTCTTTTTTCAGTATTTTTGTTGTGAATTTTAATATTTTCTAATTATTTGGTAAGTGTACAGCATTTCATTTCAGTTTTTACAACTTTATATATAATTATTATATACAAATTCAAGATATAACATAATATAATTAATATTATAATTTGTATAATATAATAGTTGGGTGATTCTCAAAGCATAAAATAATATAAAAAACGAAATAAATAATGGATGAGTTAAAGATAATGAAGGAAAAATTATATTATATTATATTATAAAGTTCTGTTTCTCAATTCTGATTGGCTGATAGCCTTTTACATCCATGCACTATTATATTATATTATATTATATTATATTATATTATATTAAAGTTCTGTTTCTCGAATCTGATTGGCTGATAGCCTTTTACATCCATGCACTATTCTACTATTATATTATATTATATTATATTATATTATATTATATTATATTATATTATATTATATTAAGTTCTGTGTCTCGGATCTGATTGGCTGATTGGCACTATTCTACTATTATATTATATTATAATGTATTTTAGTGGATACAGGGCACTAAATTAATTTGTCGTTTTGTATTAATGCATGTTGCCTTTCTCATATGTGCCAATTTTAAAGCATGTCTACTGAAGTGCAATTAATGTGTAAAGCTGTAATGAATTGGTCTCTGCTGTGTTTTTCTTCTTCTCTTTCCTTCAGGAGAAGAGTTGTGCAGTGGTCTAATATCCAGCTGCACTCTAAAATGCCCTTTTGGCTTCCAGACTGACATTCACGGCTGTGATCTTTGCCAATGTCGCCCACGTCACAAGAAGTGCAAGGCTGTGGCCTGTGCCAAGGAATGCCCATTCGGCTACATGTAAGAAAACTATAATCTGATGCACAGAGGTAACAACAAGAAGAGCAGTTTCTGTTAAACATTCATTGTTAGTTGTTCAGCCAGTGGTCAAATGTCTTCAAACTTCATGAAAGTCATAAATATCTTCCTGTTTTGACCACAACAACTTGTATTTGAGCCGGATTGGTTTTGGGGGACTGATAGTTTCACTAACAGCGAACAGTAGCAATTTGGAAAAAGGTTAACTACATGACATGTTAGCTATACGTCTTCCTGAGGCTGCACTTCACTGAGGTAATAATATAGCTCCATAAAAGCCCAGACCATTGTTATCTTTCATTTTATGTCATTGTTAGCCGAATGATTTTCAAAACTGTCAGGGCAGGCAGCAGTCTTTAGTTGTCACAAAATGAAGCGAATCCCACACTGTTCGTAAAACGGTCTGGAGAAATTGTGAATGACAAAATGATCCCCTGCGCTATGCTTTGCTTGTTTGTGCCCGACTGCGAGTTTGGAGCTGACAGCTAATTAGAGCCGGCTCAGATCAGCGTCTCTGATTGCGCCCCGTAAAGGATGAGCTGCGATAGCGAACCTGAACACCTAATCTACACAAGACCATGTCTTGACACCACTGCGAATAAACACTGCTGTTCCACGTCTGCAAAGAAATGCTCCAATTACGCAGGCAGATCGCTGAGCCAATTTGTAAAAACTTTTGTGGAGCTGTGCAGTCGGCAGGTTAAAGAGACACCTTGTGACGAATGGAGATGAGAAAGGAGAGAAAAGTACAAGAAAGTGGGTGCCACTTCTTTCAGCGACTGGTGTCTGATTGTCAGGGGGGTTTTTTTCTTCTTTTTTTCATGCTTTCTAAGAGAAAAAACAGGGAGAATGATTGGGATTTGTTGCGTGCCGCATTTAAACTCCAAAAACCTGTATGAGCACCACCACTCAATGACGGTCATATATGGTATCAAGTTCCATTGATAGCAACATGCTGTAGTTCAACAATACAATGTATCCTTAAACCATAGTTGAACATTCGCAAACAGTTTCGCAAAGTTTGCAGACTTAAATATCTTGAGCACAGACTCTCTTGAGGAAAATAAGCAAGCTAACATGTAGTCAAGAGATTTAGTGGCATTTTAAAAAGTGTGCGTGTGAGTATGTGCTGGACCGAGTATGACGTAAGTGGGAATCAACAGAAAACTAAAAAATAGCAATAATGCCATGTTTGTTATTTGCAGATAAAACACCAGGCATTATTAATAGCAGTTTTATATTGTTGAACCAATGACGACGAATGGCACTTGAGTTCATTTCTCCAATAATGCCTTATACTATGGTGATTAAGCAGCGAATTAAATGATTAGTTCAATTTTAAAAAAAACTTTTGCTGATAATTTACTCACCCCCATTTAATCCAAGATGTCCATGTCTTTCCTTCTTCAGTCGAAAAGAAATTAAGGTTTTTGATGAAAACATTCCAGGATTTTTCTCCATATAATGCACTTCAATGGGAACCAAACTGTTCGAGGTCCAAAAGACAGTTTATAGTGCAAACGGCAAACTGTCCAAAGGTCTTTAAATTCCGGACGATGAATAAGGGTCTTATCAAGCAAAACGATCGCTCATTTAATAAATAAATAACACAGTTTAAGTTTTATAAGCTCAAATGGTCGCCTTGCTCTGTTCTGTGATGCGCGTTTGTGACTCTCCTGTTCAAACTCTTTCATCAAAATGAACAAATCTTTTTCCGAGTCGTTTGGTTCATTCAACGAATGAATTGACTCAGAGAAAGATTGACTTTTTCTTACAGCTATGAGGAGTGAGATTTGGGACCACTGAGATTTCACTGTGGACGGAGCTATCTAGCAATTGATCACAGTTGATGTTGAGCACAACCAATCCCACCTCAGGTTGGAGCTGTGATGTTGTGGTTAGCACACATGCTCCGGACATGTTGTAGCTTGGCATGCCAGACCTACATCAAGATGTTAGGTCTGGGAACTCATCATTGACAGGGCTCAATCCGAGGGGCGGGATAAACGGTTGTCTTTCAAATTCTCTCTGCACGCTACAACCAATCAGAGCAACGAAGAAGGTGACGTAGTCAGAGCGTATCCAGTCGGCAAAACTCCGAACACATCTTTTTTTTTTTTTTAATGACTCAAGTGCCGTTCTTTGTTCTGGTTTCAAAGAAAAGCTTAAGTTCAAATCATCCAGAGTAGCGGTCAAAAGCCGAATCGAAAGACAGTAGCCATTCTTTGTTTTCAAGCAGCAGTGAACCGTCGCAACTCTGCCGTCATCATGTTAAGCCCGCCCGCCGACTCTATACACGATGTGATTGGCCTGACCAGAGTTTGGTTTTTCCAGCTAAAACGTCTATAAAGAGTCTACTGCAAAATAATTTTTGCTGCCGCTAGGGTGCGTCTAGATTTCTAGGCTAGACATGTTGCCCTCTGCAGTTTAAATGGGAAATGCGGGTTCCAATTTGGCCTGTGTCGAGACCCAATCCCATGATTTCCTCCTCTCGATTGTCTTTATATTAAAGAGTAACTAAACACTCAACCAACTTTTTTTAGTTAATGAGCTGTAAGAATGGATCTTTATTAATACCAGTCATTGATTCGAGTAACTTTTTGACATTTGTTTATAAAGTGTTTTATTTCTACAATATATGTTGTAAAAACGTCTTAGTGCTGCCCTCTTCAGGTTGAACGGTGGCTACTGCAGTTGAATTTTCCTATTGGATGTTCCGCACTTTGTGACGTACGCAGGTTTCAGTTCACCACGCGAGCTACGCCCTTGGCAGCATAAAAACCATCTTGTGTCGTCAAAACCACTGTAGGGAGTCAGGAATTGGAATTGAGTATTGAAAACGATCAGGATAGAGTGTTTTAGCGTCTATTTCGACCCTCTATCTCCGCTGGGGTCAGCCCACTTTTTCAGCATTTTCAAATATTGCCAGTGGGTGGAGTCAGGCTCTGACCAGGGATTTAAAAAACAGGCTTTAAACAAAGTGTTAAGTTAATCATTTTTGTTATTAGGTGTACTGTTTCTTTAAAAAATAATAAAGACCACAATGACAAGTGCAGAGAATAAGGCAGCAGTGTTCGCTGGTCTTGCACCTCTATAGTCTCCTATCTGAGACTCATTCCCTCAAGCGTGGTTGAATAAAGACGAGTCTTTATTTATCAGAGTTCGGCCCTTGGCCCATCTTTGTCTCTTTTCCTCCCCAATTCTGCCGTCATGAATGAGCACACAAGTGCCAATGCTTGCATCTCAGATTCTAATTTTAGATATCTATTTATGCCCCCTTAATGTTATGGCTTAGGATCAAGCTCGCGTCCTGAATAATGCATGCAGCTTAGGGCAGATTTCCTCCTCTTGCACAAAGAATATTGATATTCCCCACTGCTGACATCATACCTGATAGCTCCTTATCACCAAACCAAATATGCACTGCACATGGCTGCTTCTCAGCCCTATTATTCATCTGATAAGAGCAGATAGGGGATGGGGGACAAGCGTGTGTGTGTGTGTGTGTGTGTGTGAGATGGGCAGTTGGGGTTCAGGCCAGTGTGTCTGCAAGAGTTTGTTCTCCAAGGAAGGTGCCTTGGACTTCAAGGAGTATTTTGATGGGTCGTTTTGGTTAGTCGTCTTTAATGTGCCATCTGCTGAAGGACTTCATGTAAGGTCAACAAATTCCTTTCCTCTCTCTCTCCTTCTCGCTCTCTGTTCCAGTGTTAACGGATGACATTGGACCGTGTCTTTGGCACCTGGTGCATAATGCCAAGCTTTGATGTGCCAATGACAAAGTGTGCTGAGTGTGTGTACTGACTCTTTATGAAGTCCATATGTCTTGAAGAGTTATTTTAAAGGTGCACTAAGTCATATTTGTGGCCAATATAACAGCCATTCTGAACCAATACTGACACCTAGTGGTGTGGATCCAGCAATCCACAAATAAAAATGGGGTAATCCTCTGTCTGTCTTCTTTGCTTTAAAAAATGTAAGACGTGAGCAGTGAAATGGGAAAATAGCACAAGGTCTTGAGAAGCATTTTTTAACAGTTAAACTCATTTTCAACTTCTGCAATTTTTTAGATTGCCATGTCATGTGTGAGATTACAAAAGACTCGAGCACAACGTTAAAATATGTCCGTCTGGTGCATATTTTACATAGAAAAACAATGGAAAAGTAGGACAGTGGAATGCAAAAAACATGTTCTGTGTAAAAAAATACGGATGACTGGACTTTCTACATCATTTACACATACATAATTTATAAAAAAATGTTTTTCAAAAGTATTATTGTTATATAAAAGTATTTCTATACCATTTTACTGTATACTATACTATTTATGTATTATTTTATTAGTTTTTTTCTCTTTTTTTAAGCTTTCTTGTTCTCATGTTCTCTTACCAGTAAGAACAAACATGGTTGTGACACCTGCCGTTGTAAGAAATGTCCCGAGTTGCCATGTGACAAGGCTTGTCCAATGGGCTTCCAGCATGATGAGTTGGGCTGTCTGATTTGTCAGTGTAGAGGTAAGCAAAAGTATTATGTACATTTAAAAGTATGGTTCTGTGTTATTTGGTTCTTATAGGAAAATGATAGATCCCATCTTAAAGGGTTAGTTTACCCAAAAATGAAAAGTGTCCCATAGTTTACTTACCCTCATTTTATGATGAATGGATGCTCTTTTTGGGTTACTATTCACTCCCATTATAAAGCTTGGAAGAGCCAGGATATATATTTTTATATATAACTCAGATTGTGTTTTTTGCTGAAAGAATGTCATATACACCTAGGATGTCTTAAGGGAGAGTAAATATGGGATCATTTTCATTTTTGGGTAAACTAGCCCTTTAAATCTGAGGATGAGTAATTTTAGGATAAATCCACGGCTGATAATGCACATCATTTTAATTCTATATTAATGCACCAAGTTGTTACATTGCTAGCAATTACTCAATAATTAGTAAATTAACCAGGCAAGTAAATATTTTGAATTAGCGTTTAATATATATATATATATATATATATATATATATATATATATACAGTGTTGGGAGTAACGCATTACAAAAGTAATACATTACAGTAACATATTACTTTTTGCTGTAACGCAGTAGTGTAAGGCATTACTAATCAATTTTCAGTAATATTTTACTCGTTACATGTTCAGTGAGGCTTGTATTACAGTTATATTACAGTGTATTGTCTGCTTTTACTTCTTAAAGGCAACAGACTATGTGAAAGTTTTAAAGCAGTCTTTTAGTGCCAGTTCAGAGCGGTCGCGTCTGTAACATTGTTTTTTCCTCATAAATGCGAACACGAAAACTAAAATAAAATGAATATTTTAAGTTCTATGGAGACTGGAGAGCCAACCCTTCCTCATCCGATTTGCGCAGTGTAATTAACAGAATTACAAAAAATATATTTTGCCTCCTATTTTTTTGTCACGCATGAATGTGTGTCTTTTCCCTAATATTAAAAATAAAACATAGACTGATATTTGTCTAATGCCTGGAGTCCTTTAAGGAAGTATATATGTTTCAATATATGTATTTCCTGAGAATTTTTATTTCAAGTTTTGACTGCAAATGTCATCATGTCCATAATGCTGGACTTCCCCAATTTTCAATAATTTATCCTCAACTAGTTTTGTGGTTAACTTCAAATGTTAACTTCAAATAATACTAATAGCCTAATTCAAAGATAAGGCAGCATTGGATCTGGACGGTAAGGAGAATAACGCTGGAGTTGGAAGAGGTGTGTCGCGATTCTGTAGGTTCGTGGATCTGAGTCGTGTGGCGAATCGCGATTTCGGTTTCATATTGCATATCGTTACAGCCCCAAAGTTAAGTTCTACTTCTGTAGTTATTTTGGTGAAAGTAACTCAAAAGTAATACATGAGTAATGTAACGCATTACAATTCTGAGACAGTAATATTGTAAGGTAATGAATTACTTTTAAATAACAGTAACAAGTAATACCTAATGTATTACAGTTTGGAAGTAACTTGCACAACACTGTATATATATATATATATATATATTCAGTTTTCATTTTAATTTGAGTTTAATTTCGAGTAGTTTAATTCATTTTTAATAGTTGTATATTTCTATTTAGCTTCAGTTATAGTTTTTAACTATAAGTATAGAACTTTAGCTTATTTTATGTCAGTGAATTGCATATCTAATATCTAATTTATTTATTTTTCCAGCTGCGGAAAAAAATATATAGATGTTGTTAACCATAACAAAACTGTAATAAACTACGTTACTTTCAAAATTGTTTATTCGGTTTAATATCATTAATAATTATAATAATTTGTTAAAGATTGCTGACTTTTCTCAAACACAATAAGCCGCTCAAGGCCATGCAATTATTATTATTATTTTATTTTTTTAGACAAATTTAAAATTGATGTCTTATTGCTTTAATGCATAAGATAAATCTGTTTTAATGCCTAAATTTGTCTTGATTTAGACAACTAGCATTGGTAAGAATGTTTTTTCCATTTAAAAAATTTATAATGATTTTTCCCCTCCATGGCCAGAGGTGATCTAGTGCTATAGTACATTGAATCGACATGCTGAGGTGTTATTTCAGTCATTTTTAAGCGTGAGCCATGTGCACATAGAGCACTGCTGGGTCTCGTATTCACAGAGACCAGGGTCTCCAGCATGACTCATCCCCCTTTCCCATATTTTCCATTTATTTTGAGGGCCACCTGTTGTACATACAAAAGCCAGGCCCACAGTTACTCACACTCCTCCATTATTCATACGGCTCTTGTGTCCTCATTTGATTCATCTTCAATAATGAAGCTGGCACGTGAGATATTCACAAGCTCGCTCCGTTTAATGAGACGAGAGAGTGAGGAAAAAAATAGCTTTTTTTAATCTCTCTCACGTTGAATTTTTGAAACGTGAATCCTCCTCATATCACCCAGACAGGATTTTAATCAATGTGAAATGGTTGTGTGATATTGACTGGGGCCTGGCTGGAGCCGTGCCGCTGTTATAGAGAGGCAGTGAGAGGTGACGCTCTTGGCAGATAGAATGAGATTTGAGAATGTTTTGTGCTGTGGGGTTTGGAGCGTGTGAAGCATCGCTTGCATATTTTGTCATTTCACGCTGTTTGCGGAGCAGCCAGTGAAAATGTTTCACTGAAGAGGTCAAATGTCTGGAATATAAATGCAAAAATTATTCAGGGAATCCTCTGGCTTTCCCGTTTCACTATTAATATGCCACATAATCCATCAAGACTTGACTCTAAACAAACATCTGCTCTGTGTCTAAAATAAAACCTCCTCTAAATGCATTTTAATTATGATCTGCTTTCACTGCAAAGCAGAAGTTCTCAACCCAGATTTTACAGTGGGCATCAAGTGGTGACAAAACACAGGACCAGTTTTGTTTGCTGCACAAAAGCTATTTTAAAGGACTTTTTTTTCAGGTCTCCTCTTTACATGCATCAAAGATAAAAAAAAAAAAAAAACTTTAATTTTCTTAGAATATACATTGCAATATACACCTCTTTTTTCACAGTGTATGAAACGGTTCAATAAAGGATCCAGTCTCTCTAAACTTCTCCTTTCCGAGAGCCTACTCTGCTCTGATTGGTCAGATGGCCCAGTCTTTTGTGACTGTTTTACCGTTTACAGTGTCGGAAACAAAACGCCCTTTACCATGTCTAAATTTCAGCTCTGGAGTCTTCTTTCACACTTGACACCCATAATAAAGGTGTTGGTTTTTACTGGTTTTTACCAATTTGAGGTCCTCATCCTTTGACAGTACATGCAAAGGCAATTAGCTTTCACAGCGCCGGAAATAGTCTTCTCCGTATATGTCAACAACACCAAATATGTCAACAACACCATCTGAACTACAGTGTTTGATGGCGGGTTAAAGTATATGTTGTTGGCACGCAGCCAATGAAGATCATAGGCTGGCACTATGCAAATTTGTTACAAACTTACATAGATTTGTAGCCTGGTTAAAACCAGACCATTCTCAGTTGTAACTGAGTTGTGGTCTGGCAAAGTGTCATAGACAAATCATTTCCAGAGGGGCGTCACCAACGGACGTCGCGGGTAGACCTAAAACCAATCAGAGCGATGAAGGAGAAACATTGTTCTTTGCTCAGTTTTTAACAAAAAGGAAACGTTCAAATCTCTTAAAACAGACGCGATAGCTGATTCGAACGAGTGATGTTCGACGGCGGCATCCATCTTTGTAATGTAGGCTACAAAATCTGCTTCAAAATCCCAGCGCTGTCATCATCGTGTAAAGCCCGCCCCAACGTTTCTGACCGGTGCCGCGATTTCGACGGATTGGAAATGGACTTGAATGAGCTCTTTGCCAGACTAACTTTCAGAGCAAATCTAAATTTGCCAGAAGTTGTCTGGGTTTTCCCAGGCTAATAGATTAGCGGAGTTGGACTGGAATTGACGTCGTGGTTCTGCCACAGTATTTTCCTAGGCTTTATGAAGGCAGAAAAGCAGCTGCTGTGTTTATTGTTCATTCATTTGTTCCTCTGTGCAGATCAGAGTTCGTCGTCTGTGGCTCCAGCAGTGAAATTGGGCTCCTGCCTGTCTATGGACGGCCGCAGGCACGAGAATGGGCAGAGCTGGCACGATGGATGCAGGGACTGTTACTGCCATGCTGGGAGAGAAATGTGTGCCCTTATTTCTTGCCCCGTGCCCCCCTGTGATAACCCCACCATCCGACCCGGCCACTGTTGCCCCACCTGCCCAGGTGAGTCAACACTGCAACATGCTGACAATCTCCATAGATACTCAAAGATGCATTTTACATGTTCAAATATTGATTATCTCTCTCAGAAGAGTCCAGTTCCCATAAGCCAGAGCTGAGTGAGGCGTCCGTGTGTTTGGCCCCGGGTGGAGAGTACTTTGTGGAGGGAGAGACGTGGAACATCGACTCCTGCACTCAGTGCACCTGCCACAGCGGACGTGTGCTCTGTGAGACGGAGGTGTGCCCGCCCCTCCTCTGCCACAGTCCAATCAGAACGCAGGATTCCTGCTGCCCTCACTGTCCAGGTGTGCTGTTAACAAAAACCTTTACATTTGAAAAAGGTCATCAGACTTGCTCTAACCTACCAAACACAAGGTCAAAGTAGCTGTGATATTTGGATCTTATATGATCCAAAGTTATCAAAATGTGAATGTGCATAATGCATGGGTTTTTTGGAAATGATGAATACTGCATGGGCGCTGGAGTACAGGATCAACACTATGAGCCGAAGGGATGACAGAGGAATAGAATGGATCGCATTTCAGAAAATGTTTCAGCAACTAAACTATAGCATACTTCCTTTTGCTCTTCAGTGCTACTGAAATCATTTAAAGATTTAATATATTTTTCGAGCTATGAATATTTACGTGTTTTTATGTTTTAGTCAATGAATGTTGACTTTTATTGCTTCAGTTAGAAGAGAAACCGTGTTATAATTGAACTAACGTTTTAAGGCCTTTGCAATTATTTTTTTTTGCATTAAACCTTTATTTAACCAGGGAAATAATCACATTGTGATAAATATCTCATTTACAAGTGAGCCCTGGCCAAAATAGCAGCACACAATATACTACATAAAACAGATTACACAACACACACATATACAAAAATAAAACGAGATTAAGTGTTAAGAGCAAGTGCAGACAGATTTGAATAATTTGTTTAAATGTAGCTTGAACTCATTTATTGAAATAAGTTTGGATCTCACTCCAAGTGGCTGATGTACTACAGTATAAATAAAAGCAGTTTTTCCAAACTATGTCTTCATTAAAGGAACATTTAAAAGAATATATCTACTTGAGCGTAGATTATACCCTTGACTATTAAAAGTTAATAAACTATTCATATATTGAGGAAGCTGGCCGACTAATGCCTCGTATACAAATATGAGCCAGTGTTTGTACCTTCTTATATGAAGTGAAGGCCAACCTACCATTTCAAAAGAACTGTTGTTATTTATATGAATGTGTGTATAAAAGATGCCTATTTCAACAGTAAATGCTGTTATTTTGAACTTTTTTCAGTATTGAAAATAATAAATGTTTATTTGAACAAATAAATGAGCATATTAGAATGAATGTGAAGGATCATGTGACACTGAAGACTGGAGCAATGACTTCTGAAAATGCAGTTTTGCCATCTCAAAAATAAACTGTATTTAAATAGAAAACAGTTATTTTAAATCGTAATTATTTTTCAGAATATTTCAGAGTTTTACTGTGTTTTTGATCAAATAATTGAAGCCTTGGTGAGCAATTAAAAAATCGTACCGTCCCCAAACTTAAGAGTAACGGCATGTTGAACGAGTTTCCGGTGCACAAGAATAAATCTGTGAATACACGTCTGGCTCCATTTTAGTATTGAATGCCCACTTTTCATTATCAGTTCCCAATGGATAAAATAAGGTTTCACTCTAGAATATTTCACATCATTGCCTAGTAAATAAATCCATGTATATGTCTCTCTTCAGATGACCCAGTGACCCCTCAGACGCCCAGTAACGACAGCATGCCCAGCTACTGCAGGAATGAAGATGGTGATATCTTCTTGGCCGCTGAGTCCTGGAAGCCTAATGTCTGCTCCAGTTGTGTGTGTCTAGACGGAGCAATCAGCTGCTTCTCCGAGTCGTGTCCGCCGGTCAACTGCGCCCGGCCTGTGCTCAGAAAGGGCCAGTGTTGCCCATACTGTCTAGGTATGCACAGCCGAAGATCATATTGCCCAGACAGCCCAGTTTAGTTGCTTTTTGATTGCATGTGGGTGTTTATGACACGGTTATGACCGAGCATTTATCCCACCTCTTCACCAGATGCCACGCCGAGGGCCGTGTGTCATTTCAACGGGAAGACGTACATGGATGAGGAGCGATGGGACATTGACAGCTGCACTCACTGCTACTGCCTGCAAGGCCAGACCCTCTGCTCGACTGTCAGCTGTCCTGCATTACCCTGCCGTCAGCCGGTCACCGTGGAGGGCAGCTGCTGCCCCATGTGTCCAGGTCAGGACCTCTGTGCTGTGTGTTCAGATAGAGATTAGATCAGAGGAGAACAGACTGAGGGAAAGTGAATCTGCATGGTAAACACTACTATACAGACGTGGCCAAAAGTATTGGGTGACATCAAGTTTTCTGCTTCAATTGTTGTGGTGTTATTTAATATTAGCCCAGTCTTTACTGGTAAATTACTGATTAGAGATCATGTGTGAACAGGGGGAAAAAAAGAAGAAGAAAGAACAGGACCTTTTCAAAAATACCAGTAAATCGGTTCTGGCAATTTACCAGTAAGGGAAGTTGTAACATTTTTCAGCATGTCACGCTCAAGACTCAGCCTTCTTTTCCTTTCACCTGCAGCCGGATACTACTATGCACATCTCATGTTTTTAAAGGAGTAGTTCACTTTAAAAAAAAAAACTTGTGCTGATAATTTACTCACCCCCATGTCATTCAAGATGTCCATGTCTTTCTTTCTTCAGTCAAAAAGAAATTAAGGTTTTTGATGAAAACATTCCAGGATTTTCTCCATATAATGGACTTCATTGGGTACCAAAGGTCCAAATGAGAGTTTCAGTGCAGCTTCAAAGGGCTTTAAATGAGACCAGACGATGAATAAGGGTCTTATCAAGCGAAACGATCTGTCATTTCAAGTTTTATAAGCACAAATGCTGTTCTGTGATGAGCGTTTGTGACTCTCCTGTTCGAACTCGTTCATCAAAACGAACCAATCTTTTTTCGAGTCATTTTTGTGCTTATAAAACTTAAACTTTTTTATTTATTTTTGAAATGACCGACCGTTTCGCATGATAAGACCCTTATTCATGGTCTGGTGTCGTTTAAAGACAATTGAAACTGCACTGAAACTCTCATTTGGACCTTGAACCGTTTGGTTCCCAATGAAGTCCATTATATGGAGAAAAATCCTGGAATGTTTTCATCAAAAACCTTAATTTCTCTTCGACTGAAGAAAGACGTGGACATCTTGGATGACATGGGGGTGAGTAAATTATCAGCAAAAGTTTTTTTAAAAGTGAACTGATCCTTTAAGAGCTAAAACGCGAGCCATTCGATCATCCCCTTATGACTGTCACTCAGACGCCAAAAAATGTCAAATTAAACAGATAGTGAGACTAAAGTGCTTTTCCTCATGAGGGCGAATGTTGAAAACAGTGCAGAATTTATAGATCAATTCTGATGACTGACATCACAGAATTTACCGCTATTTTGGTGGTGATGTGTGAACGGTCTCTGAGCGGTAAGGCGTTGCTTGTGTGAACAGCAGATTTGTGCATTTACTGGTAAAGTCATTCGTGTAATCTTGCTGAAATTTAGCAGGATGGCTGAGTCAAAGGGGCTTTTGTTTCTAGATTATTGTGCAGATTGATCAGATGCAATTGAAATAATTGCAAAATGCCTAAATTTCACTGTTTTTGCCCATCTCACAAAATGACCAGCTAACATCATTTCAACTAGTACGGTCCAGGTCAAATCATTCTGATTGGATTATAAGAGCAGACTGTTTGCTGTAAAAGGAGGGAAGAAGTGCTTCCAATCTTTTTGTTCTTGTATTAGCAATGGTTACCTCCAAAGAAAGACCAGCTATCATGATTTCGCATCAAAATGGCCTCATATGTGAGGAAGCTGCTCCAAGGAATATTGCACCTGAGATTTTACCCAAATCAGGTTCAACTGCAGTCAAGAAGGTATCGGGACGTCCCAGAGTGTATAGTAAGCGCCAGGACTGTCTTCTCCTGAGGAGTTGGATATGGACTCCTGCCACCAGGGCAGAGCTGCTCAGTATTGGCAGTGTATCTGTATGCACATTGAAGCCAAGACTTTTGGACAATGGCCTGCTGTCAAGAAGGGTAGCAAAGAAGACACTTCTCTCCAAGAAAAACTTCCAGGACAGATTGAAATTCTGCACACACAAAGATTGGATAGTAGAGTGCAGTTATTTTCTCTGATGACGTTTAGGATATCTAGAAAATCGATTGACCCTAGAAGGAAAGGTGAACGCTACCATGAGTCCTGTGACCTTTCCGTTCTCACAATTCTGTCAACGCTCCATAAGCAATTTGGTTGCTATTTTTCTATTTTCCACGTGGGCTGGGGAAGTAAGTTTAACCAATAACATATATTTTTTTTTTACTATTCAATCAAATCCTGATGGATAAAAGCAAACCCTGCCCTTATTTCACACTAAAGAGTCTTTTTCATTCTACAATACATCATGTTACTGGAGATAATAGCTGCTTAATTCGCAAATTGTTTGCACGTTTTTCCTGACTAGAATAAATCTCTTATCAGTTTTGCTCTCTGTAGTCCTGTCATACGTTTCCCTCTCTCTTTTTTTAATGCTCTCTTTTAATCTCACTGACTCTCTCTCTCTCTCTTTGGCTCTCATAAAGAGAGTGTTTACTTAGAACCTTCACTCTAATTGAATGGGTCTTTCGTCTAAATACGGACTCGTTGAGATGAATCATTTAAAAGAATTGATTAAGTCGAAGCTGGACAGAGGCTAAATTAGCTCTCTTTGCATTTGGGAGATAATGTCATTGATCACGGCCCTCTTTATTGCTGTATCACTTGGCTCTGGATCAGTGAGTGGGTTGAGAGTGGTGTCGTGTGCACTCTGGGTAATCACTCATCCTTCGGTGCTTTCCCACTCGAAGATACCGCTCTGAAGATGAGCTTTTAATTAGACCATGGCCCGCATTTCACACTGACCCGGATCTTGTTTGTTCTGAGTGGGCACTTCTCAACTCCTCTTAATGTTGTTACAATTTGTATTATGTGCTTTTGTGTGTGTGTGTTTGTTTGTTTCTGTAATACACTCTTTTCTCTTTGTTTCATTCTTTGTGTACCCATGTCTCTGATGTTTTAATAACAGAGAGCTACGCTCCCACAAACGTGCCCATCGAGAAGACGGACCAACGGGGAGACAACCAGAAACATCAGCCAGCCTGGCCGACTCATAGCGAAAACGATATAATGCCACAGTTCAGAGGTTCGTATGAGAAAATTATATATAGACAGTAAATCTTTGTTGTGTCGTCTTTGTTCGATGCTCAAAAATAAACGTACAGCACAACCAGTGAAGTCTGATTCAATGACTTTCATGAGCCAATTCTTTTAGTGAATTGCTGAAAAAGACTTGATTTATCTGACAGACTTGAAACAGTCTTAATTTACCTAAATGGAATGGGCATGTTGTGAACCAAAATCCAATTTACAATGCGTATCTCAGCGTTGCCACAAGGGGTGCTATTGCTATGCTAGCTTTAGGCTGGATTCACATATAGCGCCTAAAAACGCATAGAAAACGCTGGCCGCGCTGTATTGTCCTTTTTTCCAAAGTGCTAGGGTGGTTGCGCTGCGGTTGGTTCTTGTCACATGACCTACTGTGCACTTATGGTGTGCTTGCGGCATTCTGAAAACTTGAGATGTTTTTATCTCGATGCGGCACGGACACGCTTGGAAAAAAACGAGCGCGTCGCTTCCGTTACTGTACGATCACACCGCCGCCGACTTGAGCTTCCAAAGCGGCCAGAAGTCATTCATTTTCAATGGAAACAGGCTTTTCTCAGCAGCAAGGAGCGTCAAATCCATCGACATCGCGTTTTGGCCGTTTTGAGCGTCAATCAGTAAGTTGAAAGAAGCTCAACTTTATGGTAACGAGCTGTGACGCGGTTCAGTGGCAAGCAACGGCAAAACGCCAGCAACCAATCGGAATGTAGACGTCCTTCACGCTGGCTGATTCTGGAGAAATATTCAATGTAAACTTTCGTTCCTACCAAAACATTATTTCCGAGAAAATGGAAGAGAAGCTAATCATCGCCGTTGCTGTGTTTCCTACTGGTTTCGTAAAATTTATGACATGACGGTTTTTAAAAAGCACAACTTTTATTTAAAATATTTACGAATGCTCGTTTTAAAGCAGGAATGCAATTAATTTGCTCACGGTGACACCGATATCCGCAAATAATAATAATAGCTACCTATTTTTTTCCTGACCAAATGTGACCAAAACGGTTATAAAATTGCTTTCATTATAAAAGGTTTCTTCAATGTATTGCTTCTTTTTTTTTTTCTTCTTCTTCTTCAAAAATGATTAAAAATGCTGGCTCTGGCTGGGCCACATTTTCTTAAGAATGCAGGGAATGAGTTAAGTTTACAGATTCAATGTTTAAAACTAATTATGATGTCTCCTGATTTCATTCTTCTTTGAACAATTTCATGTACTTGTGCTATAGAATTAGCAAGCATTCTGTGGCTTTTCAAGTCATTTGAATCAAACGTCACTGTCTAGAGTTTCACAAAGCTGGCTGTTTGGTTCTTTTGATTTTCTCTGATAGCAATATGTAATTTCTACTTGATTTTTCATGTGTTTCTTTAGTTAAGGCTTATGTGAGTGGGAGTCTGTCTGTCAAGACTGGCATTTGCCTTAATTGCTGATATAGACGTCTGACATTTCCTACTTTTACAATCAAGCCATATTTGCATTTCATATGGCAAGATTGAATTTTGAACTGTTCTACATCACCCCCAGTGAGTCAATACATAACGAGTCACTGCTTTCAGGAGCAAAACATGCCAAAAGTTGCATTGTGGGTTGTTTCAGGTGACTTTGGAAGTCTGCAGATGCCCTACAAAGATGGAAAGACACCGTTGCGCAGCGAGGATGCTGGTCTGCACTGGGCCTGGGTGGCATTGCCCATCCTAATGATGATGCTCACTATCGCCGCCCTGCTGTTGGTCAACCAGCGGAAGCAGTGGATTCCTATGCCTTGCTACCGCACACCCAATAAGGTGCATTGCTATTCATCTCAGTTCGCTACAATGAACTGAATTAATTGAATCTTTGCATGAACAGATTTGTTTGAAAGTTTTGAAAAAAGTTTGAAGGTTTATAGACCTTAAGGCCAGTTCACACCAAGAACGATAACTATAAAGATTACTATATTAGTATCCACACCCGCGGACGATATAATTCTGTTTATTCTAAGCGCATGCTTGTCACTTTAAATGCTCGAGCTCATTAAAGCATTACAGATTCTGACTGGCTGTAGGGCTGTCAAACGATTAATCGCGATTAATCGCATCCAAAATAAAAGTTTGTGTTTACATTATATATGTGGGTGCACTGTGTATAATTATTTTGTATATATATATATATATATATATATATATATATATATATATATATAAATACACACACATACAAAAAATATTATTTATATACAAAATATTTATATTTATATATAAATTATATATAAATCTATAGACAGTATATTCATGAAAAAATTTCATAAATATATACAAGCTTGTGTGTGTATTATATAAAATAATTATACACAGTGCACCCACATATATAATGTAAATACAAACTTTTATTTTGGATGTGATTAATTGTGATTAATCGTTTGACAGCCCTAACTGGCTGTCAATGTTTTTATAGTTCATCCTGAAAGTGATTTCAACTATATAGTTTCTCTGTGCCGTTATCGTTATAGTTGTGCTGAACTTTAAGATTTAGAAAACGAGTTTGAGAATCATTTTTTGTTCTCTTTATAATTTTGTCCTTTGTTTAAACAGGCCTTTATGGAGAGAGAGAATGATAGATAGATCCTTAGTTTAGCAGTGCTAGTTTAGTATTATTTATGTACTATTATAGTGTAATATTTTAAATGAGCTTTTTTTGTATATTTTTTTACGATTTTTTTTTTAAATTTAGGGTTGAGTTTCAGTAATTGTATGTGCTTTTGTCATTTTAATATTTTAACACTTCTATTTACTTTTTTGTATATATTATACTTCTATTTACTTCTATTTATATTATAAATATTATTATTTTTATCTATTTTTTTATTAACTTTATTTTCATTCCCAAAATGATACGTAAGGCTGGAATACAGCACATGACTTGATCAGACACTCAAAATCTGAATATATCACATACACTACATAAATGAGTATCACACACTACCAGACTTTCAAGTCGTTGAGAAAATAACATCGGTAAAAATCCTGTAGTGTATTCCAACCTTTAGAAAATGTTCTCTGCGGTCCAAGACTCACTTTGTTCTTTGTCCTCTCATATCTGCTGTATAGACCACGTGTCTCAATAACCAGCTGGTGTATGTGGACTGCCAGAAGGGGACGAAGGTCCAAGTGGACAGCTCCCAACGCATGCTCCGCATTGCAGATCCCGACTCAAGATACAGCGGTTACTACAGCATGCAGAAACACAACAACCTGCAAGCTGACAACTTCTACCAGACCGCGTGAGAAACAGGAGAGAGGGAGAGAGAGAGAGAGAGAGAGAGAGAGAGTGAGTGAACGAGAACGAGAGAGACTGAGCCCGTGTTCAGCTGCCAAACCTTTGCGGCACATTGGACACCTACTTTAAAATCGTAGAGACGGACAAAGCCACCAAACCAAGTGGGCAGAGAAGAGACCCTGCTGCAGAATAACAAATATAATAGTCACATAATTCACTCCAAGCAAATAAAAAAAATATATATCACACGTCGACACCCAGAAGTCTCTCCAGGAGATGGAAACCGCACCTATGTAACCGAACCATTACGGAGTGAGCGTGTTCATTCGGAGAGGAATATTTTTGTGAATCAGAGGTATGATAGGTGAGCATCTTTTTGTGTGAGCGTGGATGCTCAGGCACAAGTTGAAGGTAATCGTGAAGTCAAATGTACATCTTTGGGATTAGGACAACTGGGGTGTTTTTTTGTTTGTTTGTTTGTTTGTTTTTAAACAATATTTTTCCTGCATTCCTACTTTTTTGTTGGAAAAGAGAGAAATTATTTTAGGAGTGATCATTTTCTGACACAAGTGCTTGTGTGAACACTTAACGCTGAACCAAAGCTTCTCTGTGTGCGGTACCTGATGCGCCTAGATGAGGCCGAGGAGGGACGTTCACTTCCCGGAGACAGAGGAGACGCTGGACTGTCTATGGAGCACAGCAAAGAGATGGGTAGAGGGAAAATCAGGCGCATTTTTTTTGTAGGAGATGCTACTGTAAGATTTCCCCAGTGCTGTGGGTGAGTGGCCATTATTTCTCATTTAAAGACAAAAGGAGGAAACAGAGTAAACCGCTCTGTGGACACGAGTTCTTCCTGTTAATGGATGTGTGGGATTCTCTATATGTTGTATTTCTGCCTACACAAACAAGCATTTTCCCAGTTAATCATACAAACACCATTTGCTCTTTCTCCCACAACTAAGGAGAGAATGACACTCCTAGCAAAGATATATTTTCCTGAAACGAGTCGGAGGATTGTGTCACGAGATGCAAGAACATAGCGATAGTGGTTTGGATTTGAGGCTATGCTTTACAAGTGCCGCTTTTCTTTTGCTTTGATTCTGTAAACCTCATTTTGTAGGAATGAAAACCAGTAGTGAGTATCGTTTGCGTCTTTTAAGAAACATTTACCAAGAAAACATAGAATCAAATGGCCTTATTCCTAAAAATGCGAGCAGAACGGATTTTTTTTTCTCTGTAAATCGTCAGGAAAATCATTCTCGAGTTTAAAAAATGTAGAAATGTTTGTGTAATTGTTCAACAAAACCACTTTTGGTTTAGAAAATAGTGACTATGCAAAAATTCCAAAAATTGTATGTAAATCCTATTGGTTCTGTGAATAATTTACATAAAAAAGGTGTAAATTGTCGACGCTTGACATACGAATCGTTTAACGAACGATTTCATAAAAGATTCTGAATTGTCGGCAGTTTACGTACGAATGAACATATTGCTAAATACTAGTATTTCTGCAAACTATTACATTGATAGACACTCCGAATCATAGAAGTTTCGCAAAAGTTTCAAAGATTCACGGCAAATGTTCATGGCAAAGCTTCTAAATTGTCCGAAAACTGTGATCTTATGTTTAATTACTACATACAATAGAAGAATTTACGCAAAAAGTTGTTGACAATTTATGAGAGAATGGTTCTACGAATGATTTACGCAAAAAAAAGAAAAAGAAAATTGCCTGTGTTTTATGAATGAAGTCCAAGGAATCTGATCGAATGATTTTTGGTAGGGCTTTTGAGACAAACGTATACTGCTTTTGGATAAATGTTTTCCATTTTCTTTATTTGTACTGTTCACGAAACGGCCTCCTATTCTGGAAGCTTCGAAACGTTACTGAGGCACCTTTGTGTTCTGGTTTTCTAGCTGAGAACAAATTTGGCTTAATAAATCCAAAGTTATTATAGGAACATTTATGTACATATTACTGCTAGAATGAAAAGACCTGAAATATTATGTGAGTATATTTGTATGTGTGTATATGTGTTCGCGCATGTATGTACAAGTGTGCACACACACAAACGCACATGCATTCTCTTCATCTGTAGTTCATTTTCCTAATGAATGTATTTATGATTGAGCCAAACGAGAGATTTATATAATGGCAAACTGATGATGACAGGCATTCCATTGCCTTTTTTGTTTGGCGTTTGTTTGGTGGTAAAAAAGCACAGATGATGATGATGATGATGATGATGCAGAAAAAAGACAAACATCTCATTTTATCCTTTATTTTTGTCTGATTTTTTTTTTTTTTATTCCCCCTCTCGTTTTCACATAGAGCTTTGCTCAGTTGAACGTTTTGGGCCCATGAGATTATTTGGCTTAGATTATCGGATTATTTGTCTTATTCGGCTCAAAATCTTTTTTTTTTTGTGTGTGAAATATAAAACCATAAGAAAACTAATTTTCACACAATGTGGACAGCCAATTCTATAGATCAGATTTTTTTTTTTTTTTTAAAAAGAAGATTTTGTGTGCAGTGTGAACAAAGCCTTTGTTTCTGTAAGTGAAGCAGCGTCATTGTGATCTGACGGCTGAATGATGACGCTCTTAAGTCACGAGTCCCTTCAGGTGTCAGAACTACTGGAATGTTTGATGGACATAAGCTGTTGAAGTGAGGGGGCGGGGCAAGGGGAGGGGCAGTGGGAGGGAGAATGGGCGGGGCTGTTGATTTGTGATAGTTTGTCTTGGTTGTATCTTTATCTATATGTGATATTGTTTGTAGAGCTATACAACTTGGCACTTTTATATAGAGAGAGAAAAGTAACCTATGTGTTTCTTTCTTGTTTTGGTTTGTTTTCTAACTAATCTTCTTAATAGAATAGAGTTGCCCTTTTTACTTTTTTAAAGCCCTTGTGGGACCCTGTGCAGCGATAGTCTCTTGAACCTTGCGAAAACACTTCCAAGTCAACTTTTACCCCTTAATCAAATGCACACACACAAAAAGAGAAATTAAATTTTGAAAAAATGAAAATAGAGCCTGTTTTTAAGGCAATTGTGACATTATTTTTATGACACTTTTCTAAAAATCAGGATAGATTAAATGCAATGCAGCAAATACTAGCATGATTTTCCTTCATTAATATAAATATTTCATAAATATTTTCTCATTACAGAGAAATAAAATGAAGGTGTTTAAAGGTATAGTTCACCCAAAAATTCTATCATTAATTACTCGCCCTCATAAAACTTTCGTTTATCTTCAGAACACAAATTAAGATTTTTTTTTGATTAACTCTGAGAGCTTTCTGTCCCGCCATTGACAGCCTATGCAACTACCACTTTTAACCTCATTTTTTGAAGCGACGCAAGTTTTGTATGCACAAAAAAACATAATTTACCACTTTATTTACAAAATATGTATCTCTGGCGTGCGTTCACGCAACATCGTGTGCTCTCACATCAACACAACATGCATTGGAGATTAATATTGTGTCAATTATTTTTATAATGCCTTTACCTTAATGGCTGTCAATGGAGGGTCGATTTCATTAAAAATATCTTCATTTGTGTTCAGAAGATGAATGAAAGTCTTTTGGGTTTGGAACGACATGAGGATGAGTAATTAATAACAGAATTTCCATTTTTGGGTAATCTATCTCTTTAGTTGTCATGATAATAATGTCCCAATTCCAAAATGTAGTTTGCGGATGTTGGGCTGAAATATGTCCCAGATTTGTCTCCTGATGATACGTTTGTTTAACACATGTGTTCACAATATCATTCACTTAATGAGTTTTAACTCCCAAACAAGCACTTGCTCTTGAGGCTTTAAGGCAAAATACAGAGATCTGGACTTTCAGTCCTGTTTATTCTTTACCACGTTTCTGTTTTGTGGAAGTTAAACAAATGATTGGTAGTCCTGTCTTTCAGTCACGGCCAATCAAAAAGCATCAGAGAGGTAAACAAGAATTATTAATGGTTCGCTGGAGAGAGCATTGCTCTGGAGGACCCAACCTCCTTTACAAAAAAACAGCATTTCAGCTAGATGCCATCCATATTTAATGAGCAATGTGACATCTGTGATAGCCCACATTCAAGTTAAAATGCAATTTCCACACACTAAACAGCATTTCCTCCTCATTGCCTCTGAACACAGTGTGCTTGAGATGAAAACTGACGAACACCGAGGACTAGATTTGATTCGGGCAGACCTGCACATTTATTTGGGTCTTACAGGGTGGAGACTTTTTTTTCTTTTTTTGTGCATTCTCTAAGTATTGTTGTAAATACTTGAGTGTCACTCGCCAAAACTTACAATAAAAAAAAAGTTACTAAAAAAAAAATACAAAAAAGGTTTTGAGAGAGTAAGTAATTAGAGATGTAATATATTGTCTATGACCTTAATAATTTATTGTTGAGCAGAAAAACTGAACTTAGCGGAAGACACAGCTCAAATCACAAATGTTTGCGTTGTGCCGATCTCTCAAAGAGCGTTTCAAAGTTCATGGAGTGTCTCCGTTTGTTCTTTTTTTATTTTATTTTAATTTTTTTTGCCTCGTCGGAGAGTACGCAATTGTTTAACTTTTAAAAGGATGCTAAGCAAGTTTATTTGTTCCAAGAAATTGAAGCCCAGGAAACTTCTAGAAATGTGTCCCTGTGTCCCCTCTCCACCCTCTCATTCTTTCTTTCTACATGAAATATCAACCCTTCTGGAGTTTGTATACTACTGGTGTTTAATTTTTGTGTAAAAAAATAATAATACTGTCAACATGGGTCATGAAACTGCAGATTTATAAAAAAAAAAAAAAAAAAGCTAGATGAAAAGTTGACTCAGAATTCCTGTAGCACAGCAATTTTTTTCCCAGTTTCTTGTATTATTTTGTTTCTTTGCAGCACAATAAATACTTTTTAAACAATTGAATCTTGATTTTTTTTTTTTAAGACATACGGTTGTGTTTTATGATCTGTGCAAAAACTATCTATTAGCAATTGTAATTTATAAAATATGCTAATAAGAATTTACTGAGGCTGTCAAGCTCTAAATATGGTAAAAGTAAACAACTTGTGTGCTATATTTCAAGTTTTCTGAATCATATGACGTGTGATTTGTAAAAAAAAAAATGTAATTGACCATAAGACTCCTTATAACCACAAATGACCTCACACACAACACCATTTTACACGCTAAACCATCCTTTTTGGAAGTCAATGGCATAGTTATAAAGACGCAGAGACCGATTTTAAGTAGGCTATAATAGTTTAATGTTTCATATCACCATGTTTTAATTGGTATGTTATCGTTTGTAGAATGGGTGTGATCGTTAGTCTTTGTAGGACCTTGAGAAGTTGCTGGCGGACCATAAGGAATGCAGTTACGCAATCAGACCACAGGGTGGCGGCAGAGAGCTGCGCAACAATTTTAGTAGTTTTCCGACATAAAAGATGCTGATGCTGGAGTGTCAACTTCATTTTTGTTCTGAATATTCACATGAATGGCACTGAAATAAAAAATTAAAACAAAATGGAGTAGTTAACAAAATGATAGAGTATGAAGATGATGGTATGTGAAGGCAGTGACAGACAGGATATGAAGTCAGCACACCCTGTTAGTGGCACTCCTGTTTTCCACACTATATCACATGATTGTCCACAAGCAGGGAATCAATCAAGGATAACGACTTACAACAAAGCAGTTCAACTGTGCAGTTTTCAGCTTGTGCAGTATCATCAAAGACTATCATTGAAACTTGAAAGGGACTTGAAAGTGGATCATTTAAAGGGACAGTTCGACCTAAAATGAAACCAAAGGTAATAGGTTCTGTAGTAAAACCATGGTTTATTCTGCAGTTATTATGGTTTTACTGTAAATGCTGTAGTAAAACCATGGTTATTTTTGTTGTACTGTGATTTTACTGCATAAAACAAGGTTAAACCATGGTTAATTTTCATAAGGGATAAACCCACTCTCATGCCATCCCAAACTCATCAGCTGTTATTTTTATGAGGATAGGCCTGCCCTATATTATGAATATTTTTACATTTTTATTAAGATTTTTGGTATTACTTTAATGACACTTTGATGATGATGATGATGATGATGATAATAATAATTCAAATAATTCAGAATAATTGGAATTAATTCCATTTGAAAGACTTATTAATATTGTCAATAAAGTATCTTTATTATTGAATATTTTATCATTTTTGCTTTACTACTGTTAAATATTTGTAGAGTATTTATAAATATTTGTATATTTGTAAGTACCTGCAACATTTACAGTAAGTTTATTGTAACTTGCTGGAAGCATTTGCCATTACTCAGACACATTGAATTTTTTTCAAGATGCTTGTTGCTATTAATTTAAGGGTACTTTAATTACAATTAGAAATAACACTCTCATTGTCTTGAGGATGTATACATGATAATATAATTTTAACTGTGTGAAGTACCTATTTGCAAAAATTACAGCTTATTATGCTCTTGCCATAACAAAGTGTGTGTTACATTTTTGCTGTAACAGTGTTGGGGGCAACACTGACACATGATGCTAATCTTTATCATTTATGTATGCTAGCCTATATGGAAGACTCGGTTGATTTCAGAGGACGTCAGATGGCATTTGTACAGATCCACAGAGATTGTACTGTTTAATAATCAAGGTGCGTGTTGATAACAGAAAGGGCTGCGTTACAAAGTGGAGACTTCATAAATGCATTACAGTTCTGCTGGCGTTCAGCAATGTTGATTTTCAGGTTGTTAGACTTTATTTCATGCTCCACTTCCTGCTAATTTATGGCGCTGAGGTATGAATACAAGAAGACACAACAGCGAGATTCATTTATGCTGAATGAGAACACAGTGCGAGCATGCGAAGGAAGAAGCCAAGAAAAACTAGAAGATAAGACCGTCCTCTAATAGTGCATCTGCTGTCACGCTTATTACTTTTTTCCCCGTGTGGTGGCGACCTACAAAAGCCCTCTTTGTTTGTATGTGCATTTGCGTAGAGGGGTGAAGAGTTTTGTGATATGGAGTGTAGTGTATGTCAACTCTGACCTTTTGTCCATTTTTCATTTTCATAATTGACCAGGCATGGCAGAAATGTCCATCAGCTAATCCTCTTACTGCGACTCTAATGCCAGCTCTGTCAGTTAATGGAACAAGCTGCTACGAACCAGCAAGGTGGAGAACGGCCAAGTCCTGACGGCGAACAGCATGTGGCAAGTGCCTTTCCCTCTAATAAGTCCCATTAAAATTAGTATTCATTTAAGTATTCATTGTAATCTTCTATTATTAATTATTATGATTATGATTATAGATTTATTTCTGGTTAGAGTTCATGCTGCAGGGAACAGTTTAAAATGCAAAAATAGCGACACATGGCAACAAATCATTTTTAGAATTACTGTATAAATACACTTAAAACAGTAGTTCACTTTAAAAAAAACTTTTTCTGATAATTTACTCACCCCCATGTCATCAAATATGTCCATGCCTTTCTTCAGTCGAAAAGAAATTAAGGTTTTTGATGAAAACATTCTAGCATTTTCTCCATATAATGCACTTTACTGGTAACCAAACGGTTCAAGGTCCAGAAGACAGTTTCAGTGCAGCTTCAAAGGGCTTTAAACGACTCCAGACGACGAATAAGGGTCTCAAGCGAAACGATCGCTCATTAAAAAAAAAAAAAATTAAGTTTTATAAGCTCAAATGGTCGCCTTGCTCTGTTCTGTGATGAGCGTTCGTGACTCTCCTATTTGAACTCGTTCATCAAAATGAGCGAATATTTTCCAGAGTCAACACGTTCATTTCGTTCGTTGAATGAACCAAATGACACGAAAAAAGATTTGTTCATTTTGATGAACGAGTTCATTAAAATAATCATCTCAAATGAGTCATTTGTTTGTAAATTGGACTCATCACACTGTATTTTTATTTTATTTATTTATTTATTATTCCCTGAAAAACCCGGATCATGAGAGTTATTTG